AGAATGAAGGAGATACAATTCGAACAGAGGAAAAGTTACTGATCTCCAGCCATACGAATTAAAAGAACAGCTTCCTCAGTCAAATCACCACAAAACCTACTTGCCAACTGAAATGTTACAAGTTACAAACATAGAAGGCACATTTTCTCTTGATAGAAATAGAAAAGCCATGTCAGTGAAACAATCATATAAGTGCATCCTTTAAGTGCCCAAGTCACTACATAAATCATATCGATTTTAACATTCTAAGACACAAACTAGGAGGATGAATGAGTGACTTTCAAAAAAATTATCAATCCACATGCAAAATGGCTTTATACATAAAATGAAGCTAAAATCGTGAGACAATTACTTGTTTGAATTCTACACAATTTCCAATAACTTAATAAGATTGATCCTAGCTGCAAATTATAAGTAGATTAAAGTGATAGTCCATCAAGTATAAATATTCCACCACAAGATTGTAGAGATTATGTTGACCATACCGAGAACAATAACAGACGTGGTTCCATCTCCAACTTCTTCATCCTGGGTACGGCTTAATTCAATCATGGACTGTGACAGTGAGCCAAGCAAAATGAACATAAGAGACGATATAAAAAAATCACAAGCATCAACACGCGAGGCCAGCACATTAAATTGAGATGATACCTTTGCTGCTGGGTGTGCAAGATCTAACTCACGAAGAATTGCATTTCCATCATTAGTAACTCCTATCCCTGTTAGCATCCAAAATTATCCTTGGATAATAAGCACACAGATTCATACATATACATATATGAATGAACTTGAACATGCACATATACAAGGTATGTGTATAACATAACATTAGCAGATAAGCTGACCTCCACCAGCATCAAGAAGCATCTTCAACATGGATCTAGGTCCCAAGGTCGTACGAATAATGTCAGCCACGGCCTATCAACAAAACAAGTTACTCAAAGACGTCAGAAATTAATTACTGAATTCAACCATATAGGCCAAACTGTAGACAAGATATGTAACAAATGTTACACAGAATGTCGTCATCCATGAAGACAAAATACAGATGAGTCTTAGAGCATTTTGAAGGGGGAGAACCCCAATGCACAGGATCAAGGAAATTGGAAATGTAAATGAGAAGTCTGAGCTTTTGTTATAGGGGTCCAATCCTCCAAAGTAGGAGTTTGTTTAGATTTGATAGGTATTTTAACTTGTAACTAGTGTATTCATGGATCCAACAGGCAGTACCCTTTGGGCCATTGTTGCTGATAGTAGACCAAGATGAGGATCTGACCAACAAATATAATTCTTATCAATAGTACCCATGTGTGAAAATCCAGCTATGTATTTTCATTTACAAAGCTTTCAGATATAGAATTCTTGGATATTTCCAATTTTTATACCTCCTTTCTTAACAAACAAAGCAATTTATATGCACTGCTATTCCCTTCTTCCTGACCTAAAGACCACACACCTTCGATATTAAAGCTTCAAGCAAATCGATAAGTTCAAAAAACTGGTAGAACCAAGAAAGAATCTCAGAATGTTTGAGATGGAGAAGGCAAAGCACTTAGCGGAGAGAAATAAATGGTGGTAGAAAAAGCATAAACAGAAATCTTAAGCCTATAAATCTAGATTTACACGCATTGGCTAACTAAGATCATAAGTTTAGACACCAAAAAAAAAGAAGCGCCAAAGTGAAACACATGAGAATCATACACCAGAAATGTGCTTGCTACAAGAAAATCATATAGCAATGAACAGTGTATAAATTGCCCAATAGCATATTCTCTTTTATCAGACACACCTTTGCTGCTTGGATGTTAGCATGCTGAACCTTGCTTCCAGACTCCCGCTTCAAGGAATCCTCTGCAAATTCATTTCAAAAACATTAAATACACATAACGAAGCACGTAAGAGATCAGAACATTTTCCAATCTCAAGTATCAGCTATATTATGCCCGACGTTATCGCCAAGAGCCAAAAAATGAACAAATAACTTACTTAGAACGAGTACCGGTGCGTGCATTTTTTAGGTTTTCTCTGATGTATGTTTCCTATAAACCCTAAAATTGCAAAAACAAGCAGAGTAATCTCCGATGGCTGGATTTTCCGAAGGTATGCTCACTCGACACTGCAAGTTAAAGCCATAGATCTAATAAACACAGACGAGAAGGTGGAGAAATCAAACTAAACTCCGCACCAAAATCAAATCGGATAGTCAAAAATAAAAATAAAAAATAAAAAATAAAAAAGATCTCTAGCACGGGAACTGATTAGTACTCAGTTAGGGTTTTCGAGCGAGCATACCTGGAAATGTATTGGCAGAGACGACAGACACTGAAGACGAACTGAAGAGAGGGAGAGAGAGTTGGCGCCCAAGCGGCGATAAGAGTGGAAGGATCCAGAAATCTCTACACTTCCCTGCTCAAAAAATGGAATCCGAGCCGTTGATTTTACGATTCAAAAAACGGCTTAAGATGGGTAAGAAGTAAGGGTTTGGGATTTGCCCAAGGAATGTGTGTTGTAATAAAAATAAAAGTAAATACTATATTTGTATATAAGTAAATAAATAATAAATAATATCATATTTTATAAATAATAAACTAAATATATTAAAATAAATTATTTATTGTAAAATGTAACTATTTAGTATAGTTTAATAAATATTTATTGTAATATAATATATTATTATATTTTAAAAATAAATAAGAAATTCTAATTTTTATGATTATTTTATTTTTAATAATATCAAAAAATGTCTACAAAATTTTATAAAAATATATTCACAGACAAATAATTAACTTACTTACATTGAGTAAAATTAGTATATAATCCATAAATCAATATTGAACTAATTAACTACATTAAAATAAATTCATTAATTAAGTATATTTTTTAAACATTTTAAAATATTTTACTAATAGTTTACAAACTATTTTAAAAAAAAATTATATATTAATAAAAAATTTAAAGTTGAAAATTAAAATAATTATTTTATATAACAATATAATATAGAATATTGCAACAATTATTAAATAAAATAACTGCGATAATAAAATATCTCGTACTTTTTATAAATTTATGGAATAATTTTAATATTTTTTTATGATATTATTATTAAAAAATAAAATAAGTATTTCATAATATTAATTAATACTCTCTCTCTTTATACAAACAATAATTAAACTAATTTATCGTCATAATAATAAATAATATTCTATGACCATAAAGATTTAAACATGCAATAAAGATGATTAGTTATCATTTATTTTACATAATTTACAAATAAAAACTTCTAACATATTTCAAGTAATTTATATGTGACACAATATTATTAAATATTATTTCATTAAGTTTGTAATTGTTGTAACTTATAAGAAAATATTATCTTCGTGGAGTTTCGTACCTTATATAACCACATTTATTATAGTGGTTAATGATCGATATAATAACATAAGCTACTATATTAAACGTTTGATCTTATAATTAAGATATATGTTATCGGTAACTATTGTAAGTCTTGAGAGTTTAGAGATTTTAACTTTAAATAATAATTTATCGTAAACTCTTAATTTAATTATAAACATCAAGTACGGATCAATGTTTTATTTTTAGTGTAACTATAACACTCTACATACTCATGTATAACAAGTTTATTTAATTTATTAACGAAAAATTAATTTG